TGTGTATCGCCTAGTGTATTGCTAACTTCCTACCTTCGTTGCAAACACTAACAACCGGACAAGTGTCAATTGTTAGTGTTTCGTTAGTGCCTCTTAGTGCTTTATCACTCAGAAAACGACCCCCCCCCCCTTGCGCAGTGCTGCACTCGTTGAAAGCACCAACTAATTTAGGAGTTCCATATCTGAATGTCAAGAAAGGGAATTGGAATCATCAAAAATTAAAACTGATCCAGCTCAGCCAGCTACCATAGTAAAGCTATCTCTACGAACAAGAGGTCGTAAATTCGAAAAGAGGATCCTGCACGATTTACCGCTGGGCATCACACACCAAGCACGACTACCGAAGGTTGTTCAAAATGCAGAGTTTGTGCTAAGATTAACCAGGAATCAAGTAAATATACTTAACAGATAAATTGCAAAAGTGTAGAAATTTAAAAAACGGATTTCTAACGGATATTTAAAATTCAACAAATGTGCTTGTTCAGGGACTGTTATACCTACAATAATGGTATCAAACTAGTATTTATCGATACAAATGCATGCGGAGGATGTTCCATGTGTTGTAACCGCGCATGGGAAAAAAACTAATTTTGAGCGCTGTGATAACATTCCTTGTATCAGATCATATTCATACTAATACTGGACATTATGCAGCATATTCCAAAAGAATGGATGCTGCATGGAAAAAAGATGATGACATGACAAAAGGTGTAAGTGTGGTGAGCAGCAACATTAAACACCTCATATACTTTTTTACACAGTGGAACTAATAGCTAAATAGCTAATACAATTATGTTGTGCACTAATGTGGAATTTGTTATTTTTATTGTAACTGTTTAGGGGGCTTTTTAATTTTTATGGAATTATACGTTTACGATTCGAAATACACAGGGTGTTAGTGAATAAGTGCGACACACTTCAGGGGGTGATTCTGCATGAAAAAATAATGATAGTTTGCTATATAATCCCAAATGCTTCGTTTTCCGAGATACGGAGTGTTTAACTTTTTCTTAAAAAACAGACTATTTATTTATTGGTCTGAAACCGGTCGAGATATGCAAATTAAATTCCGTTGGTTTAGAGAGGTAGTTATTGTGCACTTGTTAACATGCAATTAAGAAATTTATGTTCATCATTTTGCATAAAAACAGCGCTCCATAGGAAGAAGAAAAAACAACCCCGTATCTAGGAAAACGAAGCATGTGCATATGAGTTATACAGGGTGTTACATGACCACATGTAAAAAAAAATTGGGTGATAGAGGGGATCAGGAAAAGCACTTTTTCCAAATAAACCGAGGGCCCAATGCGTTTCCCCACAAAGAAGTGGTGAAATTTGGATTTCTTCTTTAATTTTTTTCACAGCAACCAGTTACAAAGATGGGTGATCTTTGAATATGATTTCGGGTATGTCCTATCCGATTTTTTTTCAAAATTCCTACCACAAAAGGGCGCACCGCTACTTGGGGGTGCGAAAAAAATTCTGATTTCGAAGAAATTTGGTATCTGGGGGTTTTTGAACATGAAAATGACGAATCTGGAATTAGTTTTTGAAAATTCGAAAAAAAAGTTTCACTGCAATTCGAAAATGGAGAGAATTCCACGAAATATGTTGTGTACATACTTGACGAGTTAAGGAACAAAATTGTCGAACAGTTTTCTAAAATAACTTTTCAAACAAAAGTTGAAGATTGGGCCTTCGCGTTACTAAGTGTCCCCCGTCTTCTAGTGAGTGATCTTATTTCGCATGTAGTTAATTGAAAATGTCGCAAAAAACAAAAAAATAATGATTTACCAAAAATTCCACCCTCACAAGAACTTACTATGACATTCACCAATCCAACCACTTCATCAGAGGAGATCGAGCAGGCTGGCGAAAAAATGTTTCTATCCATATTTCAAGCACCTCCAGAAAAAAACCTAAACAAACTAGGTTACACAATGTTTCTAAAAGCCTCTTCGAAAGCTAAGTCCCCACACATCCCCGCAATCAGACTTTCCGTGTGCGTATCGGCTAATATTTTAAGATTTTCGATTTTTCTTCCCTCTGCATCTCATTAAGTATTAGTATTACATACAGGGTGGTGCACGGTAAGTAGGAACATAGGGATTTAACAAGGGAAATTAGTTTTATGCAAAATCCTGCCCTCCTGTACATTTTATTAGTAGCAATAGCCATGACTTTTGTTGTTTTGTGATTTGCCAATTGACATTAATAACAGAAATGTTTTGCATGCACCTTTTCATTCTGAACAACTTTAAACTCTAAGTTTTTTCTGTAAAATGTACAGGAGGGAACTAAATCCCTATGTTCCTACTTACCGTGCACCACCCTGTATATTGTGCTATATCATTTTGTAGATAATTTTATGTTGTTTAATTCTCTGGAATAACATTTTTAGTTAGGAGCAACAGTTCTCAAGATATTCACGGCAAACTAAAAAAGGGACCTTTACCCCCTCCCACTCCATTATCTCACACCCCACCCCTCAGTACTTTGAGTGTGTTGTTCAGGAAGATACCTTCCCCCTACATCTGTGCCAAAATTGGCTTCTACATGATTTTTTTCCTCTATTTAGCCTTTTTTGGCCTTCATTGTCTATAGGGGAGAGTGTTGTACCTCTGGCCAATGTCCATAGCATCGTTGTCTGTGATGTAATAGTAAGCATTTCTACATCAAACTTTCGCTGCCGGTTACTACAGGTCGCTATATTAGTTATACGTCATAAATACAACGGTGCTGCATGTCAGTTTGACTTTTGTATTTTCGGCACCTAAAGTAAGTAATTAGCGGGAAAGTAAAAAGTAAATGTGTGACAAAGGTGTAAGTAAGCTGGTTCCATCTATATTTCATAGGTAAGAAATATACTATGTCTACTATTTAAACTTGGGTTAATCTAAAAATCGGCATAATGTCAAAAAATAAATTTACTTTTGCAAAATCAAAGGTTGTTGTACCTTATGTAATATAATTTGTTGTACCTCTGGTCATGGTCATAGGTACAACAAGACAAAACATTGTATTTTTAAATTAACATTGAGCTTCTTTATAGAAAAATGCCACGGAAGTCCGGGACAAAGTGGATATACGCGATTTGGAAAAAGCAGTGGAAGATGCCATAGAAAATAAAATTCCGGTACGACAAGCCGCAAAAAAATATGAGATTTATAGATCAACGTTAGCTAATCACATTAAAATGCATTTGAACTCAAAAAATACTATCTACATTCGTGTATAGTGCACGGAACGACATTAAAAAGGTTTTTTCACCTGAACAGGAACGTCAAAACGTCAACAAAATATGATTTCTTTCAATGTTAAATTTGACACATACAATATATGTACAGGGTGACAATTTGAAAACTTACCACCCCCTATATCTTAGTAAATAAACGAGATATTTAAAAAAATCAAAATCCGTTTCGGTAATTCGGAGGGGGAATCACAATGACATAGTTGGCGACGCACCCCCTCCAACCCCCTGCGCCCCAGCCACCCCCACTTTTAAATCTTAAATAGTGACCCCCCATGTGTGATACGTCGTTGGAAAGCTCTGAAAAAATGCTTTCCAACCATACCAAATAGCATTACATTTAGGTTAGTAATTATCGTACTCTGCGCACTCAAGGGCAAGGTCAACCGCTTCCCAACTATAACCTAACTCACCTCAGTGGGGAATTAGGGCAATCGCAATAACCGCCCAGGAGTTCGTTGGTGTATGCCGCCTTTCTTGCGAAGTGGTGTACGAGTTAATTATAGTACTCGATATAGTAGCAGATTACGAGTAAAGCGAGCCCCTCAGGCATTAGTCAATTAAATATAGACCAATCTCGGTGGCCTGGGAGAATCTTTGGCTGTTGCGAGAACTGAACTCACTTCAACGTCCAGCTTTATTCAAGATCAGCGTTGTCTTGTATTTTTACTTGTACTTGACCTTATCGGTGCGAATTTTGGTCCGGAGTATCATTTTATTTGTTGAGAATCGGGGGAAGATGCAGTAATTCTTATTCGGTTATTGTCAAAGGGGGCGTTTAGAGTTTTAAGTCAATTTTGATTAATAATTTTGACTCTCGGGGAGTATTTTTGTATTTATAAGCAAACTTCATTCAATTTTGTAGACAATTTTCCTCGACATTAATTGGAATAAAATAAAAAATTTCTTTCGTTAATTTGATTGTACTTTTTTGCATTTTTCTAGTTTTTATACAGGGAGAGTTAAGTTTAATAAACTGGGTGGTGCTCAACTAATGGTAAGTTGTAAAGAGGCCCGTAGATTATATACCCTAAAGCTAAACGAATTAGCCGCTGTGGAAAATTTCAAACCTTTCAATTTTCCAACTCTCAGCTAGCTCAAATTAAAGTAGGTCTTAAGGGAAATGAGTATTTTTCATTAAGATTATTACTAAAAAACACAAAATCTTTTATGTAGAGCTGACCGTAGACTTGGCTATGTTATTCGCACGGGTGATGGAGGGAAACTTGTTGGTTTGGTTGTTGCTAACTAATAAACAGCAATTTATGCTTTGGCCACTTAAATGCTTCTGTAGGTCGGTAGTTAAATTTAAAAAGATAGTTCTATTTACATCAAATAAATATGGGAGGAGGAGACATCAACACTCTTAAAATATAATACTGAATAATAGGTTACTGAAAATGTTGCTAAATGGCCATAGATCCTGAAATAGCTATAATAAAAAAATCACTTACCATTTCGTAAATAAGGCAACGTTCCTAAATGGCAAACTGCATTCATCAATCTATAACTTAAACAGGTACAACACAATAGTAATGAACGATGATCAATTTTCTTTTAATTTGCCTACCATTAGGCACTATTTAATTTTGGAAATTATAGACACGTCGTATGTCACAAGAAATATTTATTAATATCCTTAAACATAATGAACACTTTTATAAAACGATCGATTAAAACAACTAGTGTATTTAAACTTGATTATAAAACTTGATGACTGTTTAATATTTTTAATTAAATACATATGTACAAAGTATTAATAAATCAATTCGTTTATTTTCACAGCTAGAAAAATTTATGTACAAGTAAATACATGAAATTCGGATTAAAACTTTTGTAATTTTCATATCAGTCGTTTTAATAATTGTCAAAAACATCGCAACTAAAACACTTCTAACCAATTATCTTTTTAATCAGTCTTTTATTTACAGTCTATCATCGCGCCACCTTACAAGAACTTGGATTTACAATCACTTTTATTTTTAACGCACTATAACTCTTACTTTAAAGTGGTCAGAAACGAGTCGCTGTGGCTGTGGTTGAACGGGGTTGTGTCGCGCTCATAGGTGATCTGTTACAGCTTCCTTCTCGCAACGGTTGGATTACCTGCAGTTACATAATGCATTATAAACAATTCAAGAATCGTACAACAACGTTTAATATTAAAGATGCGTTATTGTCTCACACGTCGCGTCGTAGATATACATTTACAAACGCTGTTTCGGAAAACGTATTCTAACCTGACCATTCCCTCTGATTTTGAAAACCAGTCAGGTCCAACGAAATGGTGTGTGTGGTGTATATTAAACCGTAAATGTCGCGCGGCGACGAATAACGTTTTGCTTGCAGAATTTATCCCACTTCTGAACAAATTCTTTGAAATATAATAATTTAGGTCTGACTAAAGAATTTCGATTGAAATGAAACAGACACTTAGTAGTGGTGTGCGCTGCTGAGTTGGTGTGTAAATCGAGAACGCAACATTAATTGGAAATGATATTTACGTGCGTTGTGTGCGATTTTACAACAATGATTTAAGACACAACGTTGCTTATATCCTTTATCGACATTTTAGCTCACCCTTATTAAACCACCTTTGAAAATGAAATCAAACGAATACCACATTATGTAAACATTTACGTAAAAGGTATAGAAAATGTAGTATTACAATTAAACAAGGCGATGCTAAACTTAAGAGACGTTCTATGTCCTATTTCAATTTGCATTAAAATTTAAATGTACAAAATATACTACCAAGTGTGTGACGCTATTCAGTTTTCTTAATAAATTAGAAGTCGACTATTAAATTTTCATATTGCGTTTAGCTCCTTTCAACGGTACTAGCACAAGTTTCATTCCGACGTACATTTCCATAATACTCGTCGTAAGTCCAATATTAGGAAAAACTATTGTCGTCTAACTACCACACTAAATACTATTCAACGGAATCCCATTTTGTAACAAATTAAATAGCCTTAAATTCTGCGTCGATTGACGAGGGTTACAGGAGACAATCAAGATGTGGTGGTATTGCTTCACATTTCAATCACATGGTCCCTTCGTAATTGCAGATTTTGTGATCAGCATCAGCACTGAGTTAATTATTGATTGCCACCAAGCACTTGAGAAGAGGAATTTATTTATTATCCCGCTCTTGTTCTGGGCGCTCAACAGGCTTGCGCCCCTGCAGGAGGTCTCAAGTTGTTATCTACTACTCCGGTAATTAAGAAAACCTAATTCGGTGTAGCCAGCAGAATGCTTGAAACTGACCTAAGGAAATTCCCATCCCTGTCACAGATGAAAAATTCTTATTTCAGCCCAGGTTCGAACACCCGACCTCTGGGTATGTAGCCCCACGCTCCACCACTGAGCCGCATAGGCGGTTTGATACCATACATATTGTGATGAGTGATGTCCAATTCCACAGGAAAGACCGAATCTTAAAGCCTTCAAATCCAAGGTTACGCAGATATTCCTGTCAACTCGCAACACCATCTTATCAAGAATCACATCATACAAATAGTCATTTATTACAACCTTCAAGAACATCAGTAACTTTTTATGGGTACCCTAAAGGGACTGAAGGTATTATGAACCAAGTCAGCAGAGCGCCTTCTTCGCCAGTGATTTAAGAAGACGATGTCGTCCACAATGCCAAAAGAAAGATTCCTGTCTAACGAGAAGAATAAAGAAGACCGGCTAATTAATATCAATGTTAAAGACCAAGCTGACAAGAGGACTTCACAGTTCGCCAAGCTATTGAAGATGTGGATAATTCTCAGATTTGTGACAAGAGCCTGCTGTAGCAGTTGAGGGAGACCTTGCCCATCCTTCTTACTGCACCGGCACGCCTCAAGCGACAACATCTACCTGCTGAAACCAGGGAAAGGCCCCTTATTAAATACTTTGTGCTATCCGGGGTTGCTGAAACACTCCACCATCATGAAGGAGCACCTTTTCTTCTTCTACGCCATCCGTGGTTGCGAAGTTTGTTAAAGCCCGGACGAGCAACCCACACTTGCAGGATAAGGTGATTCAGTGCATGAGAAATATTCTTGGTTGGAGTGTACACTGGCAGGAGCACGGCCTCGACTCTTTATGAGCTGCGGTATGAGATGTTTACCAAAACTTTGGCAAATGCAACATTTAGCCGCTCATCTTTCCCTCGTACAGTTACAAGGAAAAACTCCCTCCGCGCATACCAGGAGGTACAGGCATGGTGGGGAAGGGAATAAGCCCCCTTCGATTGGGGGCTGGAATTGTCCCAATGACCACCTCAAAGGAATCTGCCCCCACCGAGGTGCTTCGCGCTATATCCTGCAATCGTAGGATGGGGTATCGAGGGCGGTGCACTTGTCGAAAGACAGGACCTAAATTGTTCGACAATTTGCCTGAAATGTAAAGGCCATGCGTGCTCCAATTTTTCTGTTTAGGGAGAAGCATCCACCACCCCTCATCCACTCAATATCTCGATGAAGGAAGAGTCTGATCGGTGTAGTCATTCTATAATATTTTAAAGTATACTAAATTACCTACAATTTGAGACTAGAGCGAGGTCTATACAGCCATTGGTTCCCAAGATACAGTTCTTCGAAAACAGAATTTTTTTAAAATCATTTTTTTTTCAAAATGGTCACTTTTTTGCAAAATAGTCTCAAATTGTAGCAAATTTAGTCTAGGTACTTTAAAAGATTATAGTATGACTATACCGATCAGACCCTTCCTTCACCGACATATTGAGTAAAAACTGAAAAAAGTCCGAAAATTTCATGGGCTTTTGGATATACCACCGATCGCACAGCACTTTGGAAATTGCAAATCTGGTTTTTTATTGTTGTTGAAGTCCTAACAACATATAAATAATTCAGAACGACCGGACCTTTTGCAAGCAGGGATGTACATCTTGATTGGACTAATTTTCTACGAAAAAATGTTATAGGACTTTTTATATTCTCCATTAAATTCTCCATAAAAATGGTCCTTAGTGTTTTTTGCATATCTCCCACCCAACGCTCGCATAGTTTTCAACGCGAAGATTAAAATGAGCCTAGCGCGTTTTTTTGCGGCCATTATCTCGAAGAGTTAATCTGAGCAAAAACCATAATATGACCTACAAATTTCGGAAAATTTAAAGGGTTGCGCAAAGATAATATTTTGTTTTCCCATGCGTTTAGTGGCTGCGACACCACTTCTGCCTTTTTTTGGAAAAGGAAAATCTCAAACTATAACTTTACAAGAAATGATTGAAATATTCAATAATCCTTCGGCGAAAGATGACATAGCAAGAGCTGGTGAGAAAGTTACACTTGCCTTATACAAGACACCCTCTTTGAACCATTACCGGTTCATTTCATTTAATAAATTAGTTGGCCAATCCAGTCACGCAGTAATTTTGCCTAGACTACCACCTACATCTGCTGCATTAGCACAACATTCATATCGGGTTTTTCATAAAATTCATACGTGGCGTGGCGAGGAAAAACTTTAACTACAACAGAATGGGGCTGGAGCAAAAGTAAAAAGAATCTAACGCCAGTGGTTATGGCTGAAGCGAAAGCTCTAACTTCAATTCTTCAGCTTAGGTATATCCTGCGGCTGTAAACAGGGGTGTGGAAAGCGATGTAGCTGTGTAAAAGATGGTTTGCGCTGCTCCACAATGTGCGCTAGTTGTCATGGGAAAAAGTTTCAATTCGATCGAGGAAAATGTATAAATAGATATATTTTAGTAGTGGAATTTACCTAACACCCAAACAATTAATTTATTTATACTAGACATAAATTATTTAAACAAGCATGCCAATTTGTTAAACGACCATTTATTTTAATCTTGCAATTTCCATCCATATCAAATTCATGTCGTGGGCATTGAGATAATGCTCTTGGTCTTTTTCCCAACAATCTTGGTGTATTTTCCAACGATCTCGGTCCAAAAATAACGATTTTGACGGTCAATAAAAATGCATAACATTATCTTTGGCATTGAATAGCATTAATAGTTTGTTATCCGTGGAGTAACACCGATTTCAACCAAATTTCACAGGGGTCAAGGGGGGGGGGTCCCACGATACTAAAAACCATACCAAACCCACCGCAATTGTTTATAACAAATAATAGCTGCCACCACGTTACGGTACACGGCATTTCGCTTTGCACCTGCTGAAAAAAACAGACAAAGCTTTACCTTCGCTTCGTTTATCGTTTGTATTCTGCTGTTTTCAAAGCAATCATGGCGTGTCAGAGCTGCTATAATACACTTCCTTCTTGTTCAGATTTGTGTAACCGCGAACGGGACCTTGTTTCTTTTTTGCAGAATCATCTGGTGCTTCCCGGACCCGTCGTCTGCCCCACGTGCAAGAAGGATTGATACCTTGCACGAGAAGACGCCCGACTTCGTTTTAGATGCCAGCGTCAGGTGAAAGTACCGAAAACTAGGAAGACGTGCTCGTTCTCTGTTACAGCAAAGAAGCGGAACTTCTTCGAGGGATCTCATCTGGACGTCCCAACCGTGTGTCGATTCATTGCGCGCTGGCTCATGGTTCACCATCCGAAGAAGAGGTTTATCATGGAAGAGCTGCAAGTTTCGTCCAGGACCTTCGTCGACTGGAGCAGTTTCTGTCGAGAGGTATGTATGGATTATTTAACACGTCGTTTTGTTCTTTTAGGTGGAAAAGTAGTAACCGTTGAGATCGACGAAGCGAAGATCGGCAAGAGGAAGAGGAAGAATCTTCGGAGGGTACGAGCGAGGCTCGGGCAACGTTTTCATCGTTCCAGTTCCGGATCGAACCACGGATACCTTGCTTGAGCTTATACGAGAGCACATACGACCTGGTACGTAGCAGACTAGTGCGATGCTTATTTTAACGTTTACATTTTTAGGCAACACTATCATTTCCGATTGTTGGCGCTCTTACCAGTGTTTAGGTACCGAAGGCTTCCGTCACCTCACCGTTAACCACAGCTTGACCTTCGTGGATCCCGACACAGGCGCGCACACCCAAAACATCGAGAGGCTGTGGAGAGGAGGAGGAGAAATTCCACGATATGGTCGCAGAGAGGCGCATATGTCAGGGTATCTTGCGGAATTCTTGTTTAAGCGTGCAGTTGTAACGAAGCACCCGGAATTTCCCCATTTAGTTTGCCGTTTACAAAGAACACCCGGTATAGTAACGACTGGTTTGGGCTTCGTTACGCAAGAAGACCGCGATATTTTTGTAACCACCGAAGGATGTTGTCCTGGCGAAAATGAGGGGCAATTAATATTCTTTGGTTTCAGCGCCGTTAATTATTTATAAGATGTTTTAGATTCCCATAATAAGTAAAATCAAGGATAGAACGAGTTCAAATCGAGTTGTTTACAAGTTTTGCAGTCCCGTCCGTATGCCTGCATGTTGCGATAAGAGTGTTAAAGCGATAGCGCCGTTTGAGAAGAAAAAGTCCAAGGGAGCTAGTTGCAGATTGGATTGATGAGTACTTAGGTTTGATTACGCTTAATTAGGTAAGCGCTGTTAATTAATGCCATGTTAATGGGCAGTAGTAAACCTTGTCAGAAACCGTCGAGAGAGGTGTCCACAGAGGCGCTGTAATTTTTCTAGTTGTTTGCAAGTTGTCCCAGATTTTTAAGATAATCACAGGAGCCGCAATTAATTAAAAACCGAATTATTTTTTACCGCTCTCGGTACGAGCACCGCCCGGCTTTGGAAATTCCCTGTTCCACTTCCACCAAAATTGGTTTCCTTTAAAAGGAAAATGCTCATTTTGGGAGGGATCTTTCTGCTTCATACTTTCGAGTTGTAAGTACGCCTTTTGATTTTTCTAATTTGCGAAACCGTATCATTCCGAATCCACCGAACCCCTTTTGCTTTACCCTTTTACCGTTTGAGCGACCGTAAGTCAATCCGTTATCCTTTCCGTTTGACTACCGTTTTGAGTTTACTTTTTTTACCTACCGTAACTTTTACCCCGTTCCGCTAAGTTTCATTACCGCCTTAAGCTTACCGTATTTTCTATCGATAGTGTTACCACCGTTTAACTAATACCACCGTTACTGAACCAAGGTAAGCGCTTAATTTTCAATTACGTTGATTAAAGGGGGGAAGTATATTCTGTTCTTCTTGTTTTTCCGCTTTTCGTTCCCCTAGACACCGCTAATTGATTTGTGCTTTATTGCTTTATTCCCTTTAGGAAATTTACCGTCAGGGCCGTCGGCCATATTTTGTTTTAGATAATCCGGAAGTGACCGCCGCCATTTTGTGGTGAACCCTGACCGATCCCTGGTTATTCCGTTCTCCACTAGAGGATACCCGGAGGCTTTCCACCCCGTCCGCGAAGACCGCACCGCCCCTTTTCCCAAGACTTCGGGGGTGCTGAGTGAAGTCTTGGTGGCGCCCGAGAGACCGACCGACCGTCCCCGGTGTAATAATTGAATTGTACAATTATATTATTGTTCGACAATTAAATGAACTTGAAATAATTGTGTTTTCCCTTATTTAGAATACCGTTCGTGCACGAGCTAAGGGGGAAGTTCGTCGCACAGTTCCTCGAACTCGCCTTATTCATGAATTCATGCGAGCTGCTGCCGACCTCTATCCACCTTCGCCTGTGCCTATCGGAGTAGATCTCGAGGAACCAGTGGCAGGACCGAGCAGTGCGCCGTGATTTCATATCGTCAAATTGTAAGTTAATACGGTTCAATTTAATTGCCTATTAATTAACCATCATTCTTTGCAGGTGCCTTTTTCCGTTTTCACTTGGCACATTGTTGTAAACCCATTTTACCAATCCTTATTTTACCGAAATTCCTACATCCTTCCCGACAAGGACGGGTTGACACCACCTCGTTGTCCTTGTTGGACGGCTGTTCAGTCGACAAAGGAAACCCATTTCCTTAATGACATGTACGTTTATCATGTATTGTTATTTAATAAAATAATTGTGGTTATATGTATATTTATTACACACCTTACCTAGCCAAATTAGCGGTGTACAGAATAAGTTAAAGAAGTTTTCTCAAGAATATTCTCTAGGTTAAAGGTTTTTTAAGAACCTCGTCTAAAATTTGCATTATGAGCAAGTACAAATTCACCTTTAAAATCCACGCCCTACTTGTGTTAAACAGGTGTGCTTAAGAAGTTGCCCACTTGCTTAGGTTAAAAGTTTTATTAAGAAATCACCTTATATCGCCATTAATTACAATTAGTCAAACAAAAGTAGCGATATTAAGCTTATAAAGATATTTCACTTTGATCTGTGCCTAGGTCGGGAAGAGGACTTCGATAATTAAACATCTTACATAAAAATTATTGAAAAATGAACGCATACACCACCTATTGCGCAATAGCCAAAGTTTTTTCCTGCTACCACGACATTTCCAATCTTTTATTTTTTTTGAAAAATGGGCCATTTGCGAAAAAAAATTCTATCATTTTCTTCAAAAACAGCCAATTTCCTACACTTTCTGAAAATTTTTTTCGAAAAATACGCTACCCCCCGGATACGAAACCGGTACCCGTCACCCCGGCAAAATGTCCCCCTGACAAAGCGTCCCGGTGCAAAGGTGTCCCTGCGCTAAAGTAGCCCGGCGCCAAAGCGGCCGCGTCAAACTGTCCTACACCGTGTTTGCAGTACCCCTGCCTCAAACCCGTATTGGAAAAACATTGGGCGCGTTCACCAGACGAAGCGCTTCATGAGCACTGCCTAAAGGCCGGCATACTTTAACAAGGTTTCTCGCGCGAGTTGATGTCTGATTGCACTGTCAATGTGTACATACCATCGTAAGTCGGGCGTACGGTGGTATTTATATCTCGACAGTGCCATCAGACAGCAACTCGCGGGAAACATCTTGCTAGAGTATTTCCACTTTTAGGTAGCGTTAATGAAGCGCTTCGTCTGGTGAACGCACCCATTGCTTGGATGTATTCAAGCATCTGCGCCCCCAGACTAACCTGACCGGCAGGAAGGAAGGAGGAAATATTTCAATTGTATCAAACCTGGTGACCGAACGTCCTACCACCAAAATTGGAAAATTTTAACAGCGCCACATTACCAGAGCAGAGTTTTGGTATCAATTTAATTCTAAAGATTCACTAACAACGTTTTAGTACTTACATTATTTTCCCTGTTGCTTATGAGTGGGGTTTCGGCAGTTGTGTAGCCATCCTGCAGATGCTCCTCCCCATTTGGACGTGGCATGTATTCCGAATAATGTTGATGCGGCACTGCTGAAGACTGACAGGAGAAGGAAACGCTATTACTGTTTAAATATGTTGGCTGCACGCACTTAGAAACATCTATTTGCGCGTAAAGCGTAGGTTCTTGGGTTCTTATCACAGACATTGGAATAGACTGTTGATTACTGTAAATTACGGGGGATAACTGCTGTTTGCCGAGGGACAATTCGGCGTAAGTTATTTCGTTGCTCTAAAAATGCATGACGCTATTAAACTATTACATAACGACCGAAACTGCTCACATTGTAACTGTCGTATACGCGTTGTTGGTGGTCATCTTCTAACGTTTGTAATCTGTTGTAATTTCTAACGGAGGAATTATTTAAACGCTCAAACGCACGCTCTTCCTCTTGATACTCGCTGTCTCCGCTATTGTGGGGAACAATATCTGGGTTTTTTTCTTCGAGACTATCTGTGCTGCTGTTTAATTCTTTACTTAATGTTTGCATGCTATTTTTACTGTTATTTTCGCCATCTCTGCACGAAAATCGAGAGTCCTTGTAGTCATCCGAAGAACTTGCACCCCGAACACGTATAACTAAAATAATGATTATGGCGACTAAAATAAGAGAGGAAACAACTCCAATTAGTATTCCGAGTATTGGGGTAATATGCAACAGCACAGGTGTGAGAGCTAAAAAAGGACTAATTAAATTTCGGCCATAAAGAGGGAAAGTCATTTACCGGTATGCTTTTCGGCGGATTTTAGTGTGTGCGTTTGTAAATAGGAGGTTGAACTTTTGCCCTTTTTATTGATGGCGTATAAACCTATCTGAAACTCCAATCCAGACTCGAGTCCGCTTACAGTAAATGTAGGAATTTTGGACGTGACGTTATTGACCAATTTCCGTGTCAACGTATCGTAGAGTTCCATAATGAATTCCTGATGTAAACCACCGTCGAAACCTTCAATGCACTCGACGTGAAGAGATTCCACGGTTTGATTTTGGATTGTACAATTCGACAGCGAATCTGGCTTGCCTAACATTACACGGCAATTTTTGCGGTTACTATTTACAATAGAGATTTACCTCACCTGCGGGATTAATGTAAAACACACACGGTTCTCTTTGATCTCCAATCTCATTACTTCCACTACAAAGCAATGTACCATAGTCACGTTCAGTCATAGGTTGATACGAAGCCGTACTTCGTGCGCGATCTGTGGCAATTAAATTCTGCGGTAGATCTACAGTTAGAAGGTTGTTATCGGTGTTATTGAATTTCCACGTGAACTGTATATCGGTCGGATTTGATTCTAATTCACAACGTATTTCCGCAATTTCTTGGCGCGCTACACCGTAAATCTTCGGTTGTCCCGGACGGCACACAGGTGCAACTGTTAAGAAACGAAAACCCTAATTAACATTAAGCTCCACCTCGTATATTATTGTCTTACATTTTACATCGAGCTGCACGACATTGCTTTCGCCATCTCCCTCTTGATTACTCCCCACGCACGTATATAAGCCACTTCTAGATCTTGTTACGTTTTGCAGCACTAAACTTTGATTACTAACTATTGTTCCAACCCCGGCGTTATTGTACAGCACCTTCGCCTGAAAAAAATACTATTAGTCTTTCGGTTTTAATAAGAAATCTCTCTTACGTTATGTCTCCAGCTCACTTTATACACCCAGGGATTCGACTTAATATTGCATTCGAAATATACGTCGACACCTTCTTTAATTGTGCTTCCGTTTAGATTACTTCCTAATTCCAGGGAAACTAAAGGAACGTCTGCAATAAGCAATATACATTTTCGTCAGAAAATTGGTTTCCGTAATACAAGTGCTAAATTACGCTCCAAATCTATGCTAATCTTAAATTAGCAGACATAAACAACCCTTTAATTAACTCGTTTGTAATTTATATCCAGTTTTTTGACTTTGAAAATTAATGAAGGCCTAAATTTCCCTTCCAGTGCGTACGATATACAATTTTAGTGGCATCTATTGCCTAGATGTACTCATTACTCATACGGATGTATTAATTTTCATGCAACGCACACCCTGCTACAAGAGACGCATTTAACTGATTACACCTGCAGTTATTAGCGTATAAAGCACAGTTGTTTTTCTTTGATAACGCTTTCTACGCTGTAAACACAATGTGTTTTTTCACACCAACTCAGCCTGTAATATTTCACATACCAAAAAAGGCGAGTGTAGGAATTCTAAAATTTATTTCAGTTGTGCACACGATGACTCATGGGGTAAATTATGGACATGAGGGAAGATGAAGAAAATCAAAGAGGAAGGTAATTTGGTCGTCCAATTTATGTTAAATGGCAATTTATTTGAATGAAACTGTATTTAATTAAGTCTTATCCAACTTAACGAAATATACAACCCCCGCTTCCTTTATTTATCGCTTTATTCCATAAATTTTATGAAGAGAAAGCATGCATGACGCCTTTCTATCGATTTTTAGCGCATTTCAGTGACTGTCGGTCGCCTTTTATAAATCGCTTGAGATCGTCGAACCTTGAGGCATTAGATTCGTATTATTGAATTATTTCTCTACCGCTTAGTCTGAAAATTATGGAGTATTGTGACCAAAAGGTATCAAAACTGTAAATTATGCATCAATTTCGTTAAGAAAGCGTCTACACGTTTTAGCTGAAGGTGCTGGTTTTTTATAGAGGTACAATGTACACAGTTTAAAATTTGGTTTTGAACTTAAATTAAAGTGAGAACAGCAGTATACGCAATAATTTTTCCTGTGTATCCTAACAAATACAATGTTAATGGTAGCGCTGTAAATAAGTTAATCGCAGTTTCAACAATTACCGATGGTGAAACTGTAAGAAAACGAGTTGGGCGCTTCGTTACGAAAAATGTCGTGCCGAAAGAATTTGTGTTGGTACTGCGAATTGAAGATAGAAGCTGCCGTTACCATAAAAAAAAGCTGTAATTAATTCGCCGCTTGCAACCATTCCCGTCAAGATATTTCAACTATTTTTATTGCATCCGAAAGCTCTTGTCATTATTTTAGAATTTCCATCCCGTTAAGTAATTATTAGATGATTTTGGTTACCTGTGTTAATTTAAAACGGGGATTAGAACTACATGGCCATGTAGGTTTACGCCGATATTAGTTTTGATAAGCGACCTTTATGCCGACCTGAGGAATTCCAATAAAAAATTAGCCTTACTGGAGTATCGACTTTAGAAATTTCAATTAGTGCAATTAACAGTAGGTAAAAAAATGTCTAGCAGTAAACGTTATAACAAATAGACGTGTGCGGTGGGGGGGGGGGGGATATTGATAATTTTATTTTTAGACGAAAGTTTTGTTGCAACGGAAAAAACTAGAGATCAAAAGCGGGATAAAATTGGAGTGATTTTATCTTATACTTTTGATCGAGTTTTTTCCAGGATGCAACAAAATTTGAGTGAATTAAAAATAAAATTATCCTGATTTAAAACCAAGATCGAGTGCTTTTGATGGAGATTAATACAAGCAATAAATTTCATAACCACTATATTTTACTCATTCCTACACGCATTTTTATCACTGATAAAAAGCTACCTAGTTTTTAATCACTTAAAAAATCTTCTGATTGGTTAGAAACAATCACCAAGCTAATTGGTCGAATATTAATATGGAGTGTATTATTCCTATGTGAAAAACACTTCCTGTTTTGCTTCAAATTAGCAAGCTCAAAATCTCCTCTTTGTGGCTCATGGTCAAGGGAAAGCTCCTCAAAGACATCTGCTTGCACATCGGGTGGACACTCAACATAATCCATACTATCATAAAGGTAATATAATTTACTTTTTTGCAGTTTCTCCCTGTCGCTTCTATTTTATTTTTTGAGAGATATCTGTTGGTATAAAACTTCTTCCATTCCGGATCTAGTGCGCGTTTCCTTTTCTTTGTTTAGCTTTCGAAAATCCATTAAATACGTTTTCTTGATTTTAACGAGATGTTATACGGTTGATAAATGATTGAATTGAAGTTGAGGATATTGATATCATGGGAGCAGATGGTGGTAGGATGAATGAGCAAGGAGTTATTAATGGCGATGGAGGTGGTGTAGAATTACGCACACATGTTTTTCGGCGTTGGAATAATCGGTTGGCTACTGGCTAGTCCCAGTGATCCTGAATGTGCACCATTTAGCATTTAAGATTTTTACCAGAAACCATTGCAAACTGGTAGTATAGTGTTTTCCCCTAATTATGCAACAAGTTGACACTAGTATTCCTCTTTGCCCACTTGTTTTGTTTTGGTAATTATAAATTTAAATTGTGAAAAAAATTAGAACTATTCAGTTAGCAATTATGTGCGCAGTATTTGTAAAAGTTCATTCTCATGTTTTTCTCGGGTCTTAGATAAGTTTTCTTATCGCTGCAAAGCTAATTAGTTTCGAGATAAGAGCGTAGCCCCGAAGTTTAACACAACTACAGATTAATCGAAGACAGCGCATTATTTTTCTAAAGGAAGGAGGAAGGTAGTTGGAAAGGGAATAGGTTTTAAATAAGCGAACGGGACATTAATGGGGGCTCTTTTTTGGTGGAAGACGTGAATCGAGTTTTTTTTGGACTTTGAAATGTAGCCGTATGTGAGCTTATTTGTTTGCAAAAGACTCAGTTTTGTCGTCATCGAGGCTTTTCGAAGAAGTCCAATAAGAAGATATCTAATACGTCGACATTTACGTGAACGTTTAAGTCGAGTTAATAATAATAATAATTTATTAGCGCTAATAACAAGACTGTTTTACGCAAGTCGGTTAGTTAAGAGTTAAGCAAGAGCGTGTTTTATGTTTACGAAGAAGTTCTCTAAAGCCAGTTAAAGGGAGCTTCTGTCCACCATCAAAGGACCAGTACTATAACTGAAGTATAAAAGTGAAGTTTCGATGCAATATCACCTGGTGTTTTATGTGCATCATTTATTATAAATCGCAGTTACGACCGGTGATTTTTTTTTCTTCCGCATCAACCGCTAGGGTTATTAGCGGTGTAGTGTTATTTTATGAGTGTGGTGAGGGTGTGTTGGTGAGGGTGTGTTGGTGTATCTGTATATGTGTGTATTTCCTTTTCTCTTCTATGTGTGTACAATTTGGTGTTTTGGTTAGTTGGGTTTTTGTACTAGAGATTCATATTGTGATTTGGTTGTTGGTTATAAATTTCACGATTTCTTTGCAACTCTCGATGTCGGTCAGTGCTTTTAAGGAATTTGTGTTGGAGCTGTGTGTAATCTGGACATCTGAAGAGAAGGTGTTCGACCGTTAATCTTGTTTGGCATGTGTCGCAGTTAGGGGGGTCTTCGCGGGTGATTAGGAAGCTATGTGTCATTCGTGTGTGTCCTAGCCGTAATCTGTTGATTATGACCTGAGATCTTCGTTTTGTGGGTATAGGCAAAGTGGGTTGTGTTAGGGGTTTCACTTGTTTAAGATGGGTGTCTGTCAGATTCCATTTCTCCTGCCATTGGTTGTTGATGATTTTCCGAAACTGGTTCTTTAGGTCGTTTGGCAGGAACAAATCTGTGATTGGTGTGTTTTGTGTTGTAGCTTCTTTAGCTGTTCTATCTGCATCCTCATTCCCGGGGATTCCGATATGTGATGGTGTGCATAGGAAAATTATTGAATTGGACAGGTTATCGATTTTTCTTCGAATTTCTTGGACGAGTGGGTTTTTGGGGTATATTTGTCTTAGGATTAAGATCGAGCTGAGGGATTCTGTGCATATCACATAGTTTTCTTGTTGATGTAATGCTATGTAGTTAATGGCTTGTAAAATTGCGTAAAGTTCTGCTGTGAACGTGCTGCACAATGCAGGCAGGCGGAACTTCCCTTTGCTTTTTGGGGTGATAATTGCTGCTCCTATTCTGTTGCCTGACTTAGATGCGTCGGTGTAGATGATGGAATAATTTTGGTACGATTGAATGATGCGGTTAAATTCGGCTAGTATCAGTGCTGGTGGTGTTTCTGTTTTTGGATGTTTGGTCAGGTTTAAGTTCGTATTTATCGCTTGTTGAGTCCACGGTGGGGTAACAGTGTTAAACCATGGGAGAACTTTTTTTGGAATGGAGAAGTTGGTTTCTTTTTCCAAGCGATTTATCCTTTCGTATAAGGGGGGTGAGAGGTTTTGGTTTTTCGAGAATTGATTTTTAAATTTTTTGAAAAAAGTGGAGGAGAGGCTGTTGGGGTTTCTTGTTCTGTGAGCTGCTGTGTTAATGGCGAAGTTTAATGTGAGAAACTTTCTACGAAAAACTAATGGAGGTTCGTTGGCGAGACATAGCATGCTGGTAGTTGGGCTAGTGCAAAAGGCTCCTAGTGCAATTCTTATCGCGGAGTGTTGAATTGTGTCGATGATTTTGATATGAGATTTCCTTGCTGTCGCGTAGGAAATACTTCCGTAGTCTTAATTTTGATCGAATTAGGTGTTGGTAGATTTGTAGGAGGGTTTTTGTGTCGGCATCCCAGTGGTGGCTTGAGAGTACTTTTAACAAGTTTATCGCTCCATAACAAGATTTTTTGAGATATTCTATATGAGGTTTCCAGTTTAATTTTTGGTCGAAAATAATGCCTAAAAATCTAATGGTTTTTTCAAATTTTAGTTTTCCCGTATAATTTTAGGAGTGGAGATGATTTTGGTGGTTTTTTGGTGAAGGAAATGCATTTCGTTTTTTCGGTTGAGAATCCAAAACCGGATGTTTTTGACCAATTTTCTAAGCCAGACAAAGTATTTTGTAGGATTTTTTGTATATAGTGGATGTTTTTGCCTTTCACA